TAAAAAAGAAAATAGAAAATAAAAAACAAACAAAAAAAAACAAACAAAAAACAAGAAAAATAGACATAAGAAGAAAATATTGGTAAAATAAAAAATATGAATAATCAAAAAAAAAAAAAAAGAAAAAAATGTAAAACTACTTAAAGAAAAACAATTTTACAATTAACATTTAAACAGAAATTTAACCTATAATTAATATAATAATATATAATGTTTAAATACAATTATAACTAATAAAACGCATTGCAGTTGGACTGTCAAACAATTACGGATAAACAATTTTACAAATTACATTTAAAAATTAAACATATAATTATTATATAATCTTTAAATATTATTAATACAAATGAAATGATTTATAGTTGAATTGGCAAACAATTAGATGATATAAACAATTTTACATAATTTACATTTAAAAAAACAAAAAACATATGATTAATATAATAATACAATTTTCAAATAATATAATTTTATAACAAATAAGAAGAATTATATTTATAATAAACAATTGGAAAGGGATAAACAATTTTTTACAATTACATTTAAAAAGAACTAAACATATAATTAATATAATAATACAATAATCAAAATACTATTAAAACAAATAAAACAAATTATATTTATAACACAAACAATCGTATTAGATAAACAATTTTACAATTTATAATATACTAGGGGTGGCCCGCCACACGTTGCTGTGGCTCACAATCAGTCCGATGTACTTATTACGATTATAAATTGAGATATAAACTATCCTATCTTTCAAGTTGAATGAAACTGTACACAGTGTGCAAAATTTTATTAAAATCGGTTTAGTTGTTTAGGAGTCCATTGCGGACAAACAACGTGACACGTAATTTATATATATTAAGATCTAACAAAAAATAAATATATAATTAATACAATATATAATCTATATATATATATCATATTGTTTATTTACATTATGATATAATTTTGATAAATGTTATATAATGTTTTTATTTAAAGAATTGTTAACATGATATATATATATATATATATATATATATATAATTAATCATATTTAATATTATTTATAATTAATCATAATTTACATCATGATATATAATCATCGAAATACGATTAACGCAAACACAATAAATTATATTTAGATGGATAAGAAAAGCTTTTAAAAAAAAAATCAACTCACGTACTTGTACTTGAACATATTCACACACATGGTGATGATACTTACGCAAGGTGGGAAGCCGTAAATTCGATTAAATGAATGGTGCCAATCGTTGTGGTGCAGTGTCATAAAACTAGATTACTCGTGAACAACTTTGCACGAACAACTTCGTACACTAGTGATTAGTGGGTTTAGTTTAAAAAGATAATAATAATAAAAAAAAAATATATATATATATATATAATACATTAACACCACTCACACACATATCAATATTTTCTAATGGAAGTATGTTGTTGTCCAAGTGTTTGCCAAAAAATATTAAAACCAATGTCAATTTTCACAAATACTACGGTAATTACAATATTATTCATTTTTTTATCATCATTTATATCATCTTATCATACGATTTATTTTTTTTATTATTATTATTATTATTATTATTTGATAACATGATTGATAAAAAGAAAAAAAAAGTAGAAGAAGAAAGAAGGAATTATGCAACAACTTCTTTGAAATAAAATGGATAAGATGATCCTTTTCTTTCATCATTTCAACTTAAAACCTATTAAGTTACCTATTATAGGTTTTCATCCCACTTGATTTTCTTTTACTTTTATTTTTTTTTATTTTCAAAAGGTCATCCTATTATCGTTAAAAAAAAAAAAAAAAGAAAAAAAAAGAGGTTCTATTCAACATCGATCCTTCTTCTTTTCTCAATCTAACAATCTTTCCTTTCAATTTCTTTTCTTTTCTTTTCTTTTCTTTTTGTTTTAACCACAAAACATTCCTTTTTCATTTCTAACTTTTTCCAACAGCTTGCCTTTTATCTTTTTTTCTTATCTCATTTACCATTTTATTTTCAAACCTATCAAAAGTTTGTAAATTTTAAAAACTTCAACCTCATCTTAACATATAGGTTAGTTTATTGTTATTAAATATATTAATTATAGGTTAGGTTATTACTAACATATATAGGTTAGGTTATTATTATTATTATTATAAATATATTAATTTTAGGTTAGGTTATTACTAACATATATATAGGTTAGGTTATATTACTAACATATATAGGTTAAATTATTATTATTATAAATATATTAATTATAGGTTAGGGTATTACTAACATATATAGGTTAAATATTATTTTTAAATATATTAATTATAGGTTAGGTTATTACTGACATATAAGGTTAGATTATTATTATTACAAATATATTAATATTTGGTTAGGTTATTACTGACATATAAGGTTAGATTATTATTATTATAAATATATTAATTATAGGTTAGGTTATTACTGACATATAAGGTTAGATTATTATTATTAAATATATTAATTATAGGTTAGGATATTTTACTAACATATATAGGTTAAGTTATTATTATTAAATCATTTTTAAAACAAAAATTATTTTATAATCTTTCCAATGTTCAATCAATTCAAAAATCATTTGTTTAAATGATATTCTAAAATGGTGATCTTAAAACACGTGGTCACAATACCGCGTTAAAGGAAATAAACAAATAGTAAAAATAATAATAGAAAACAAAGAAAAAGTCTAAGAAAAATGAGACGTTTTCGTTGATGAAGAGGAAACGAGGGAAAAAAAGTATCAAACGGTTTATCGATTTTCTTGCTCTACGTTTCGAGGGAAAGGTCAATAGGCGGAGCATAAACTGGGGAGGCTGTGGTTCAGGTTCAAGGTCGTCGGCAAAGCAGGAAGTAGGGAATACAACAGTAAACGTAGATATCGTGTATATATAGATATATGTGTTGAGAGAAAGAGAGAAATCGAGTGAACATACACTGGTGAACTCGGTCGATGCTAAGGGGTTCCAGTTTGTCTCTCCTTCTTTCTCTTTAAAGTTATCCCTATACATTTAACCCCCACCCTGATCCCATTACCCCCACTCTTTATCCCGCTACCAAGTTGTATAGAACGCCATCTGTATGACGAAAGTATAAAACGAGTGGTAGTGGAAATTGTGCTTGGTGGTGGTGGTGGTGGTAATTCTAGTAGTGGTGGTGGTAGTTCTGGTGGTGGTGGTGGTTCTGGTTCGTGGTGTATAGTAGAAGCTGGTCGATACGCAACCGTGCTATGACCTAGGCCTAGCCAGGGGTAGTCCTGGCCTGGTTCACGTTTACTTTATTCTCTTACCAACTGCACACCACCCAACAGTTGAGCTACCAGTTTATAGTTTTGAACGATATATCAAAAAAAAACTGTAATACCACCCTACTCAACTACCAACTACCACTTTTAAGCTTCCCCCACTCTCATACCCCACTTCTAGTTCTATCAGATGCTTCTTCCTATCTTTACGATTCACCTCAGCACAATCTGGAGTACCAGATTTTCACGGCCGACGGGGCTGGGATATGGGGTGGGGATGAAGGGGTGACACACTTGTTGCACCCTTCCTACAAATCGGTCTTGCACCAAAGAAAACTTCAATAACGAATAGTCAAGCTAATGTTCATTGTGAATCCTAACAAGGTTTTTTGATTTGATGATCAAATTCTATAAATTCTAATCATCCCATTGATCCTGATAATTGTCATCGATTAAATCGATAAACAAAACAAACAATTAATAATAATAATAATAATGATTATTAATAATAAGATTAGACGTAGTTAAGAAAAAGGGTATAAAAGAAAAGTGAGTAAAAGCGCATCTGGTTTCGTAGTTTCGTCGAGTCCAACACACATCACCACACACAGTGCTTGATATCGACCCAGACGGCTACTTCTGCATCCTATCCCTCCTACCATCAACCCACCAGCACCACCAACAGGATCGTCGGCGCGATCATCAGCAGAATCCCCCACCATTTTAAACATAACCTATATATATACACACACCTACACTATTGCTACTATCATCTGTGTCTAACCATTTCTGTCATATTGAAACACACACAAGGGAAATTGTGGTACACACATAGAAGAATTTCTACTCCTACTTTGAACAAATCCTCCCACCATTTTAAACATAACCTATATATATATATACAGACACTACTACTACTATATTTGTGTGTGTCTAACACTTTCTGTCATATTGAAACACACACAAGAGAAATTGTGGTACACAGATAAGAGAATTTCTACTTCTACTTTGAACGAATCCTCTCACCATTTTAAACATAACCTATACATATACAAATACTACTACTACTACCACTAATACTATCTTTATCTGTGTTTAACCATTTCTGTTATATTAAAACACACACAAGAGAACTTTTACTTATCTTCGAACGAATACCCCCACCATTTTAAACATAACCTATACATATATCAACACCACTACCACTACTACTACTACTACTACTGTCTTTTTCTTATATACAATTGAACACCACAAGAAAATTATGGTGCACAGTAGAACTCCTACTACAACTACCCCTATTCGAACAAATCCCCTAGCATATTTTAAACATAACCTATATATATACACACCTATACTATTACTACTACTACTATCTTGTTCTTACATACAATTGAACACCACAAGGAAATTATGGTGCACTACTGCAACTACCCCTATTCGAACAAATCCCTTAGCATACTAACATATTTTAAACATAACCTATACATATACACCAACACCAACACCACTACTACCCCTATATTCTTTTTCTTATTTATCATATAACTGTATTATTAATACACCCCAACACATATATAAAAATAGAATAGGGGGATATATTGGAACATGCGTGTGATTACTGGTACTGTATGGGACATGCTTTCATCCCCACCACCATCCCTTAAACTCGACAACCCTCTCCTTCTCTCTCTCTCTCTCTCTCTCTCTGTCTTTCTCTATATGTTTTATATATTGCTCTCCTTCTCCTTCACTGTGCCAGACCTTTCCCACCCTCAGTTCGTATCCTCGAGCTCGACCGTGTAGGAAGCCAGCAGCCGGGTGTCATTTCGGCCCGGGATGCCATGCCCGAGGCCGGTGCTGGTTCCTCTGGGAAATCGTTCCTGCAAAAAGCACGGGGCAAGGTATTACGCTGGCTACGACGTTCTCTACGTACGACGACTCACCAGGTGAATGATGATGATGACGATGATGATGATGATTAATTAATGGTGCTGATCGTGTTGATGATCATTATCGTCAATCTGTTATTTAATTCTTTTTTTTTATTTATTCTTTTTTATTTTTATATTAATCAATCTCAACTTTGTTAATCAATTTTAATTTTTTTTTTTTATTGTTGTTGTTAAATGGTTGGTTCTTTTCTTTTCTTTTTTTTTTTTTTTTATAATTTGAATTTTTTCCAATTGTCATATGTCAGACTGTAAATGTAGAATTTGAATTATTAATTATTGTGTTTATTGTTAATTAATGTTTGTATAATCGTTAGATTGATTTTTGTTGATGATCATTGATTTGAATATTTTGTAGATTACATTTAAGTTTTTATTTTGATAATTTTGAATCATTTAGAATTATCTCGATTGTATGATTGATCTAATCATTTTCATCTTAGTGTTATTTAACAATTATTATTATTAATAATATTATTAGTATGTATAGTAATGAATTTCTCTTTTTTTTTTAAGTGTTTTAACAATATCTACCCTCTAAAAAAAATTAATATTTAAATCGTGTGGTTATAATTATTTTTTAACCCTGTGTGTGATTGGGGTTCATTTTCAACCCCCCTAAAAAAAAATAATAATTATTAAATCGTGCAATTATAATTATTTTTTTTTTCAGCATGTGTGATTGGGGTTTATCAATTTTTCATGTCAAAGTGTTTGTACGAATTAATTAATCACTGTAACGTTTTTTTATTTTTTTTTTTTGATCAATGTATTTTGAAAGTTGAAGTAAAGGTTGAAGTTTCTTTAATTTGAAGGATTTTTTTTTTACAAAATCCTACGATTCAATTTGATAAATAAGAGACCAGTAATAGGAGTCTCCTGGGATCTCAAAATCCCAAACATATGAGCTGTGAGCTAAATCATCAATGGTGGTGGTGGTGGTGTTGATGGTGGTGGTGGTGGTGGTGTTGATGGTGGTGGTAGTGTTGGTGCTAATTGTGATTGGTCAATCGAAAAACAAAATTATTTTATTCAATGTGTTATACATTTTTATATTTTACATTTACAAAATAATTTTCAAATCTTTATCGAGATTTTAATTATTTTAATCTTGCTTTTTCTTTATTAACAACGGTGGTGATGGTGGTGGTGGTGGTGGTGGTGGTGGTGGTGGTGGTGGTGGTGGTGATTGGTTAATCAAAAGAAGAATATTTTATTCAATTTTTTATACACTTTTAGATTTTACATTTACAAAATAATTTGTCAAATCTTTAATACAATTTTAAATATTATTTATGTTTATTAATTATTAATCTTCTTTTTTCTTTTTTAATAAATAATGGTGGTAATAGTTGTGGTGGTGGTGGTGGTGGTTGGTTGGTTAATCGAAATAAAATTATTTTATTCAATTTTTTATACATTTTTACATTTTACATTTACAAAATAATTTTCAAATCTTCACCACGATTTTAAATATTATTAATTTTTTCGATTATTAATTTTGTTTTTACTTTTTTTTCTTTTTTTAACAACAGTGGTGGTAGTTTTGGTGCTGGTGGTGATTTATCAATCAAAAAAAAAAAAATTATTTTATTAAATTTGTTACATTTACAAAATAATTCTTAAATTTTTATAACCCTTTCAGTGTTAAATACATTTACCTAAAATATTTTATAGAAACGGAATAGTTTATTATTAACCAAATTTTAATCTAAAATAATAGTAATAATAACCAAATTAAATAATAAACCAAATCAAAATCTAAAATAATAAATAATATTTAATAATTATAGTTTTTATTATCTAAATATAATTTAATTAATTATTATAAAAATATTTAACATTATTTTTATATTATTTATTATATATTTAATAATCTATATTTAATAATTACAGTTTTTATTATCTAAATATAATTTAATTAATTATTATAAAAATATTTTACATTATTTTTATATTATTTATTATATATTTAATAATCTATATTTAATAATTACAGTTTTTATTATCTAAATATAATTTAATTAATTATTATAAAAATATTTAACATTATTTTCATATTATTTATTATATATTTAATAATCTATATTTGATAATTAAATGTTTGGTTATTTGAATATTATTTAATTAATTATTATAAAAATATATATATACTTTTTACATTAATATTAAGAAACACGTATATACATTGAACGATCATACTACAATAATAATTTTTCCCAAACGCCTATATGCGTTCATAACACTCAAAATATTAAATATTAATTCCTTATTTCGATTGATTACCCCTTTTTTTTTTTTTTATTTCTTTTATAACAACACTAATTAACGCCTATAAAATTTATTTGAGACACATGCAAAGTAGAAGTGAACAAAAAAAACAAAAAACAAAGAAAAAAAGAAATAAATGCAAAATGCGTTTTACATATTGGGAGGGTTAAAAAAAAAAAAAAAAAAAAAGAAGAAAAATATTAATTCAACTTTATTAACTGTGAATAATTTTCTTTAGTTTTGTTTTTTTCTTTTCTTTTTTTTTTCTCAAAAGTTATGTCAATGAAGAATTAAGAACGCATAGTGAGTGAGTGTGTGTGTGTGTGTGTGTGCTGCTGCTGCTTTCTATTTAATAACTATGCATGCTTTGAATCACTTTGCATAGAATGTTATTAACGTGCGTGTATCAAGATGAGAGAATATGAGAATATTTTAATATTCAAGAAAAAGAGAAAAGATAAAAGAAAATAGAGAAATAAAATATGGAAGAGAGAATTTAAAGTACATACGTGGAAAAGTGGTAGTTTTTTCTTTTTTTTTCTTTTTGAATAAAAGTGAACTCGTCCAACCAACCAACGTTTGAAATACTTTTTCAGGTATATAAACTAACGTACGTGTTTTGTGACATCGATGACACAAGAACCCAACCAACCAACCCCCTTACACCCCGTTCACTTCACAGGTTATATTATCAACGTTTACCCTTTATCGTTTTCACAGCTTCCTTCGAGCGTGAATAAAGCATTGTGATACTTGTGTGATAGAAAATGTGGTGATGCGTGTTGTAAGAGAAGAAAAAAAAGATTATCATCTTTTTCTTTTTTTTCCATAGATTTTTTTTCTCTCATTTTTCTTTCATACGAAGTGTGATAAACTAATTATATTTATAATATTTGAGTATAATTATTTAATATAAATTATATAAAAATCATAAAACAATAATAATAATAATAATAATAATAATAATAATAATAATAATAATAATAAAAATTCTTTTTTATGCAACAACAATTTGGATTTTTTTTTTAATAAATTTTTTTAACCCATTTTTCCATAGATTTTTTTTCTCTCATTTTTCTTTGATACGAAGTGTGATAAACTAATTAAATTTATAATATTTGAATATAATTATTAATGTAAATTATATAAAAATCATAAAACAATAATAATAATAATAATAATAATAATAATAATAATAATAATTCTTTTTTATGCAACAACAATTTGGATTTTTTTTTTAAATAAATTTTTTAAACCCCTTTTTCATCGATTTTTCTCTCATTTTTCTTTGATACGTGTGAAAAACTGATTAAATTTACAATTTAATTACATTATAATTATTAATATAAAGTATATAAAAACATCTTAAAATAATAATAATAATAATAGTAATAATAATAATAATAATAATAATTTTTTTGTGTGCAACAACAATTTGGGTTTTTCATCTTTTTAAAAAATTTTTTTTTAATTATTTTATTTATTATTTGTAACACTTATTATTATTAATTTTGTGTAACACTATTACATTATATTTTATTACATATTATACATTATTATTTATTATATGTAACACTATAAAATAAAAATAAATTTATATTCACTTATACAATTAAGTTTACACAATTTCGTAATGATTTTAAAGAAATAATAAAAATAAAATATTAAATTAAATTAAATTAAATTAAATTAAATTAACATTGCCAAAAACAAAAACAAAAACAGTTTAGCAAAAAATATATATTAATTTATAACACATACAAAAAATATATATATATATTATTAAGTTAAATGTTTTATTATTTAAATTATATTTTTATTGAAAAAATATTGTTTAAATTATATTTTTATTGAGAAGATATATTATTAAATGAAATGTTTAAATTATATTTTTATTACAAAATATATATTACTATAGTAAATGTTTGAGTTATATTTTTATTAAAAAAAAAATATATTATTACATTAAATGCTTGAAAATTATATTTTTATTAAAAAATATATATTAATATATTAAATACTTAAATAAAACTTTTTTTTAAAAATATATATAATTATATTAAATGCTTGAATTATATTTCTATTGAAAAAATATATTATTGCATTAAATATTGAATTACATTTTTATTAAAAAAATATATATTAATATATTAAATACTTGAATTACATTTTTATTTAAAAAAATATATATTAATATATTAAATACTTGAATTACACTTTTTTATTTAAATATATATAATTATATTGAATGCTTGAATTATATTTTTACTGAAAAGAATATATTATTAGATTTAACGTATTGAATTATATTAGAATGATTAAAAGAATAAAAATAAAGTAAAATCTCGAAATGAAAAGAATATTACGCAGGTGTATAAAAGGGAACATCGATTAGTAACTGACCCTTCGATCGTACATGCATTACTTTTCATTGTGATCAACGCTAGTTGCATCCCTCTCACGATTTATTTTCAGCTGAATTCAAGCGAAAGTATACGATGTTGTTTAAAGCTGATAGTACTCTATTTTCTTGTTTAACTATAATAATCATAATCATTATATGACCAAAAAAACTAAACATACATACATAAATATACGACTATATACATATATCTGTATATCTAATAGTAAATTGAATATTACAAAAATGAACATATCTACTGAATAATGTTAGAAATGATTATAATATCTTCAAAATTCATAATTCATCATTTAACATCAAGTTA